CTTCCTTGCTTCTGCCACAGCCCGGTGGGAGAGGAACTGCTGTCAGACTTGGCCAGCAATAAGGAGCTAGCCGGCCCTTCACTCTGTCAGTGGCCCGTATTAAAGCCCCAACACGTGCAGGGCCCTGCCTCTGATAAGATAGGGAGAGGGAAAGCGTGCGCGTGCTGTCCGCCTCCCAGCTCCCAGGGTGCGGTGGGCAGTCAGGTCTCAGGTGCAGGCAGGGAGAGTCTGTCCCAAAGGCTCCGCCTGTAGCTCTCATGAAGGAAGACAAAGCATGTCTTGCACACGCTTCCTGAGTGCTGATGAAAGTCTCTTCTGAAATTTGACTCAGTCTCGTCCACATGGTGACTTTGTGAACCTTTGTCTTTGTCCACAGGGCTGATTTTAATTTGTCCTAAACTTTTTTCCCAAATGGTATCAAAATTTCCTAGCTATTTTCACCTTCGGATAGCTCATGAAGATCACAGTATTTATCATTCTGTAGGGCTGTTGATGCTGAATCGTGTGACTGGACATTTGCAAGAAAAGATTGGGGTAGTAGAGTGGTAGCATCCGCCTTGATCGTCGGATGCCCTTTCAGGAAAGAAGGTGGGGACATTAGTTTTTTCCCCTTAGCTCTCCTTGTCTTTCCAGCCCTCTTACTTCATGTCCTTTATTTTCCATTTAAAAGGTAATTTGCAAACTCGGCACCTTAACAACCAGTGCTACAGGCTCCGTGCCAAGTAGAAAGCACAGCTCAGTCCTTCCATGTTAACACAGACAGTGCCCAGGAACAAGAAAAAAAATTCTCGATTGTTTCCATTTATGAGATTATCCAGGCCCACAGTGCTTCAGAAGAAATTGCTGGGACAGGGTGGAGGATTTGAAGCTATTATTTACTAATACCCAGCGTCTATGTAGTGTTTATGTTCCCTTTGCCTAGATCGCCTCCTCCTTAGACCAGCCCACCTGTCACCCAGCTCGGCAAGCGGGGCACACGCAGGTAACAGTAGTGCCCACTCCGTAATCTCGTAAATGCAGACACATACGGCCCATTGGCTGCTCACTTACAGTAACAGCTCAGTGCACGCAAGCTGTTGTCTGCCATCACATGCAAGAGGCTGAACAGGGAGTCTCGTTCCACACGGGCAGTATGGGAAGTGCCATGCACGGTGCTCCAGAAGTTCAGAGGAAACAGATGGGACAAGCAGAGATGGCCACCCCTACGCCCGGGCACACTTTGCATTACCTGTGGCTTCTGTGCCCTGCTGCTCCACCACCCCCCCACCTCCCGGCCCCCCAAATCCTTCCCCAGTCCTCTTCTTCCTTCCTCCTCATTCAGGGCTGCCGGGCTTGATAGTATATTTGATTAGCTTCTTCCTCGGGCGCTTTCAGTTTTCTTACCTCATCTGATCCTTGCAAGAGAGAGGCAAAGTCTTCTTTTTTTCCAATGAGAACACGGAGGTCCAGGGAGTGTAGATTACTTACCACATCTTGAAGCTGGAAAACCCAGGTCCTCTTGTCATTTCCCACTCACGTAATAGACCCTGAATTATTTTTTGATCCTTAACCCCGCCCCCCATTCCAGAGGAAGGTCATACAAGTGGCACTAACCCTGCTTTCGCTAAACTGTAGGTCTCTTCCTACCACAATGGTGCTTCCTCTCCCGGTGTAATGTTTTCCAGCCCACCTCTTCTTAAAACCCTGTTCTGAAGTGTTTTCCCAGCACCACCAAGCAGTTAACCCAATTTCAACACTGTCTACTCGGAGATAGCATCAGACCGCACAGGTTAAGGGCTCCGTCCCCCAAGAATGCCCCCCACTTCAGACCCCAATCACAAGTACAGGTTGTCACCTTTGCTTCTGCCTGACTGGCTCTTAATCAGACGTTCCCATGACCCCCTTCTCGGTTCGTGTAATTTGCTAGAGCACCTCACAGGACTCGGAAACATCTTACTTACTTGATTACCAATTTATTATATAAGGATATAACTCAGGAACAGTCAGATGGAAGAGATGCAGAGGGCAAGGTATGGGGACAGGGCATGGAGCCCCCGTGCCCTGTTGTGGGGCACCACCCTCCCTGAATCTTCATGTGTTCACCACCCTGGAAGCTCTCGGAGCCCCATCCTCTGGGGTTTTTATGGAGGCTTTATTACATAGGCATTATTGATGAAGTCAGTGGCCATTGGTGATTGAACTCCATCTCTAGCCCCCACCCCTCCCCAGAAGTTGAGGGGTAGGACCAAAAGTTCAGATGCTCTAATCAGCTGGTTGGTTCCCCTTGCAACTAGCCCCCATCCTTAGTTTACCAAGGAACTTTCCCAAAGTGACCTCATTAACATAAATTTTGGTGTGGTTGAAAGGGACTCGTTATGAGTAACAAGACATTCCTTTCACCCTATGGCTCTGGAGCTATTTCAGGAGCCAGTGACAAAAGACCAAATACTACTGGTCTTATTATGTTAGGAAATTCCCAGGGTGTTAGGAACTCTGTGCCAGGAACAGGACGAAGACCAAATACATAGTTCTTATTGTAAATCACAATATCACAAGTGTAGTCGGCTCCTTCTTCCTGGATAGAAAGGACTTGAGATGGCCAGCTAAGAAATCTGACCAGTTTCAGCCCCACCCCCACAAGTGTTTGAGCCTGAGTCTCCTTCAAGACCTCTTTCTCTTTACAATGAGGGCACTGGCCTAAACCTGGGAGTCTCACCTTGGTTTGTTTTTTCTAGGACATGAATGTCCGATGACATTTCCTTGTAGACCTTCTCATTGGGTGGCCTACTTCCCAGTACCTTAGCTATAACTTGACTCCCTGTCCTGCATTCAAGAAGTCATGTTGGGATGCAGGGGTGATTGATGCTATTATAGTGATAACCACGAATCTGTTCTAGGTTATCAGGAAAGTGAGTAATGTGAAGTGTAAGGCCTTTTATCAGTAGTAACAGTTCACTTTAGCACCTCCCAGCGACACTATTGGGGCCCGGTGTTGGAGGAGCTAGTCCAGAGCGTCTCCACCCTGGCATGCCCTCAGCTCTGAGCCCTCAGCCTGCAGACAAGGTGCTAACGTAACAAGTTTTTAAACTAGAAATGTCCTGTAGTCATTTAAGGTAACATAAAACCTTGGTCTTTTGAGTCAGAAAAAAACGGTGAAGGAATCTCTAAAGAAAATATTCCTTAATATTGGCTTATTTGCAGGGCCTGGGCATGAGGACAGAACCAAGGCTTCAGAGGGACCTAGGGTAGATGTGGAGATACCGTCGTTGTACAAGACTCAAGTTCATTACTCACCTGTCCACCACGTGTGTCACACTGTGTCTGTAGATTTCTAAACTGGGTTAGAAAAGAATCAGCCTGGCACATCTGAGATCGGGTTTTGCCAGAAAACTGGCGATGGACCCTCCCCCTACCATGTTTCTTTTGTCTTCTGGTTTTGTTATTAATGGATTCATAACCGCCCAGAGATCAGAAAGTACAGCCCTTGCTCCAAGCTTGGCCAGAATCTTTGGATTGATAGCACTTGCAAGACTTTTTAGCTGAGACACAGGATGCTCAAGATTTTTGAGGAAAGGGGTCGGGAAAATGGGGACTATGCCACGGAGTCTGAACTCCACTTTGTCCATAGTTAACCGGACCCTGGATTTTCTATCTGGTCCTATAGTTCATTGTCACTGAAAAGAGGAGGGTTTGGAGAAGACTTTAAACAAAGTGCTTGTGCCCTACATGGGAACACAGGAGCTGGCTTGCTTCCTGTCTCTGCACCCACAGCTGTCAAAGTCCAGGGCTTTCCATACAGAATGAGCAAGGCCCTGGGAAGAAAGGTGTGACCTCCTTCTCCGTCTGGGAGCAGTGAACAGTCGTCAATACAAGCCCTCCGGCTTTTGTCTGTGTCATAGGAAGTGTTGCCGACAGATATTACCAGCACCCAGTGAAACTGTGCATGGAACACTTAGACTGAAAAGTTACCAGGAGAGTCAAATTTTCACAAGATTTAGATGTGCTGTATTAGACCTAAGAAATCCAGGCTGGGTGGTTAAGAATTACAGTCACAAAAGGGAGAAGCTGCAACGTGTGAAATTAGATGTGGACAAATAAGTAATAACTTTCCAGTGGTATTAGATCCTTTTGGTAGAATGGAACAGCGTCGATCATTCGAAAATAATTTCAATAAAAATAGAATGGGGGACATTGGAAATCGTTTATCTTTAAAAAGTTGTTTATAAATAAGTCAAGGGACTGGGTTTGCTTAATGGAGTTCAGCTCAGAAGATTCTCAATGGAAATCTCCAATAGGGGTACAGTTCTGATGAAACTGCTCAGATGTGCAAGCAGTCCAGACTCCCCTGGTAGTGGGACAGCAGGGTCACAGCACCCTGTGTTCGCCGGGCGTTGTGCAACAGCTGTTACTCTTAGTGGCATACGGCCCAGGCGCGCGTGGCATCTGGGAGTGCTCCGGAGGGCCACCCTGCTGCTCCGCACTCTCAGAGGACAGCTGCCTGAGCCACAGGGAGGCCCCCAGGTGCCCTGGGTGAGGGATGGAGGTGCTGCCTGGTTCCGGGAGGTCGGGGGAAGGAGGGAGGTGCTGACCTGACCGCTGTCAGGCTTGCTGCCACAGGGGGCCCAGCCAAGTGCTTTGAGGGCTGTAAGGAGGAAGAGTATTAAATGCTTTGTTACTCAAAGCCTGATGATTTGCTTGCCTTGATCGCACCCCTGCCTATCCCTGCTGTCTGCTAGACCCCCTTGGGGGAAGGGTCTAAAGGAAAATAAAACGCAAACCAGCTGCCATGCCTTCTGGTAAGTTTCGCCAAGAGGCCTGTGGCAGGGACAGCCCTAGCGGGCCAGTGGGAGTTGGGAGGCTGTGATAAAATAACAGGATTAATGAAGGAAAGATCAGGGCTAGGGTGTATCTAGATTGGAATTCTCCACATTGACTCTGACCCCACATGGCCATAGATTTGTGTTGGTTGTGGGTGTGCTTGGTTTGGAAGAAGCATTTCATACTATTTTCCTCTCTTTCAGGTTTCAAGTGCCCCATTTGTTCCAAGTCTGTGGCTTCTGATGAGATGGAAATGCACTTTATAATGTGTCTGAGCAAACCTCGCCTCTCCTACAACGGTAAGGGTTTGGCTGGGGGAACCTCCAAATGAGGGTCTTCCCAAGTTCGTGTGGCTCTGGACAGCATTGGCGCCCCGCTTTCCGGCAGGAATGCCTGCACGGTGTCGAGGAATCAACTGTTCCAGGGATCTTGGTGCAGCAGCTGGGGAGGAAGCAGAGTAGAACAGGAAGGAAGGCCCGGCTGGGGGTCAGGCCCATGGCACTGGCCAGTTTCTCGGGTTGCTCAGTTAGGCCTTTGCCCATTTACACACCTGCCAGTGGAGGGCCTGGGGGGAACGCCACCTCCTCGGGGGAGGGGGCATCTGTGCCGCTGGCGTGCATAGCAGAATAAGTTCAGTAAGCGGACACCCTTCAGTGACTAAAAATGCTGACCTGCCACCTAGTCAGTCCACCAAGGCCACACTGCTTCCTACCTTGGAGGCTGCCCCAGAGCTGAGCAGGGAGTGCACCAGGGGTAGAATTACCAGGCCAGGCCATCCCGTGAAACACGGCACCTCTGTGGATGAAGGAAGTGTCGCCATCTGCCTGGTATGCTGTGGGTAAAGATCTGAATTCAAAGTCTGCCTCCATCACTTACTGACCGTACAATCTTAGACAAGCTGCTCAGCTTAGCAGAGCCTTGGTGTTCTGGTCCGTGAAACAGAACTGTCAGTAACCTGGCTCTTAGGATTTCTGTCAGAATAATGTAAGACATTTACACCTCAAACCCTTCAGTACAGAGCCTGGCACACGGTCAGTGCTCAGGAAGTTAGAGCTGGCGTTGATCAAGACAGTCACCCTCAAAGATGTGAGCCCATCGTGAGCCCATCCGTGGGTCTCCTCTTGTCATTTTCCAGAGTGGACTGAGCTCTCTTCAGTGCTGGGCGCTGTGGGCTGCCCACAGCTCTCTGGTCTTCCACTGTTAACGTGCTTAATCTGGTCTTCCGACCATGTTCACTGGAGGAATGCATCTTCTGCAAGAACAGGCACTGGGTCTGAGGGGGCGTGTCCCAACCGCATCACTAGGCTGCCTTCTGGGGTTGAAGGCGTAGCAGGGCTCGGGACGAATTCTGTGGTTTCTCAGTCTGTGGACTGGCTAGGAGGTGAGCCTGAGATCACTTGAGCCCCATCCTGACGATGAAAGTTTCCCCGGGTTGACTCTCCTTCCAGAGCTGTCCTTGGCCTCCTGCCTCCTCAGACCCAGAGGCACTCCTGCCTCCACACAGCATTAGCCTAGGGAGGCCTGATGATTCCATATTGTTCCTGCAAAGTGCATCTGACAAATCTGATCTACTCCTCCTAAAAACACACCCTGCTATTCCCTTATCTCTTACTTGCTCAGCCGATTCTGCATGCGTGTGGGCAGGGCTACACTCAGTCTGGTCCTGTTTGCTTGGGTTGGAGCACCGGCTACAGGGCAAGTTGTGGCCCTGCCCCCACCCCCAGTGTTCCTTCCCCTTTATTTCCCACCTGGTGCCCCAGAAGCCCCTCTTCTACCCTGTGGACAGCCGCTCCCTGTCCCTGGACACCGCTGCTGCTGCTTTTCTGAAACATCGTAATGTGAGCTCTGGGCTTCCTGTCAGACTCGTCAGTGTACGTTCCTTAAAGGATGCGCTAGCTCCACTTTGTTCTTGCTGCTCCTCGTCTCTGCCTGGGACCATGGAGGGACACGAGTCTTCTCCCGTGGCCCACAGCCCTCCCCAACCGTGGCCTCAGAAACTGTGTTCACTTATTCTCCACATGTGCACAGCCCTCATGAAGACCGCTTTTTGTCCTGTGGGTGGCTGGGGAGAGCTCTGTGTAGACACTGCCTCGCTGTCATAAGAACACAAAGCAGCCTCAGAGTGGGCTCCACCCGAGAGGACTGTGGGCTCTTGACGTCATCAGGGAGAACTCTGCAAGGGCAGCTGCGGAGGACGGAGTGCTCTTGGGCCACCTGAGTGAGAGGTACCCGCACACCCCATTCTTAGAACAGGGAAGGTGAGGGCCTTGCACGTGCCGGGTGCTGCCTGGAGCTCTCCTCCGTCCCCACAGCCACAGGGCAGGGCCTCCTCTGCCTGTCCCCTTCACTTCCGTGGGAGAGCCGGCATGGCCACCCACAGAAGGGCACTCAGAGTCCCCTTAGAGGAAGAGGAAGTTGGCCAACCAGCCTGAGACAGAACTGCAGCTTTTCCCATTCTGGCCCCATTTTCCCCTCTTCCTCTCATTGAAAGCCACCTCTTCAGGGTGTGTGTGTGTGTGTGTGTGTGTGTGTGTGTGTGTGTTTGTAAACTAGAGGCTTTAAACTCAAGGTCCTCTTTTGCAAAAGCCAGTCCTTCCCGGCAGAGGCAAGGAGAGGCATGTTTGTTGCATCCGGTCCTATTGGTGGGATTTGACTGAAGGCCATGAAGATGCTTCAGCAATGATGGCTGGCCTCTCTCTCTGGACACTTACGCCTTCATGGCTGGGCTCTCGGGAGCCAGTCTCTGTGTTTGCTGAAGACTTCTGAACCTTCCAGATTAGAGAAGGCGTTTGCCACCTGGGGTGTGTATGTGGAGTGGAAGTCTCCAGAGCTGGTCTAGGGCCTGTTGTAATTCACGTAAAGGACGGGGCTTTCAGGGGCCATAGGCCACCCAAGTCAGGACGTCTGGGTGTTTATTTTGGTCTTGCCGATAACACACTTTACCCATGATTCCTCATCATCCCATCCTCTCCACCTTCACTTTATCTTTTCTGTGTAAAAGAAATGTGAGGAGACTTAAAGAATCTGTAAAGTGTGGAGCTCCCAGAATCTTCTGGAAAGTGGGCAAGATGGGTCTTTCTTAGTGGATAGAGAGCTAAATGCTATTTTCTTATGAAGATTCACCAGAACCCGTGGTCACTCCCCTGGAGATTTCTCATCTACACACACACATACACACATTTTCTGTAATTGCTGGCACTAATTGGGGAAATTTCTAGAAAATTTACAGTGGTTATATAAGATGAAATTTAGTTAACCGCCAAAGGAAAAAAAGTAGAAACCTCCTAAATGAGGCAGATAGAAAGTAGTATTTTTCTTATTATGAGGGTTGGCCTGAGCTGTGGGTTGGAAAGCCTCCAGTAGCGGCCTGCCAGATTTAAAAAAAACCAACTTAGGAAAGGCAAGACTAGTTTAACTGGTCCACCCAGTGCTCGAGAGAAATGTGAAGAGCAGGAACTGGAACTCCCAAGGCAAGCACCTGGCTCGCAAGGCTTGTGAATAGCCACCCCATGCTGAGGGTGCAGGGAGGGTGCCTGGCCCCAGAGCACTGAGTGTCCCATCCTTCCTTCTCCTCCACAGCGGCTCTGAACTCAGGACCCCTAGGAGATGAGGGAGGAGTTGGTGGGTCCCACTTTTGTGGGTAAATGCGGTGAGCTTGAAGGGGCCTTTAGTTTCTCTCCCTTTCCAACATCTGTTTGTAGTTCTGAGACTAGAGAGCTCGCCCTCAAGAATATGCACTCCAGTTTTGACCTTCACATTGCTCAGCCAGCAGAATGAGCCTTGAGATGGGCTGGAGGACCTGATTTTGTTGTGAACAGAAGAGAGTCCTAATACCGTGGGGGGGCATGATAGATGGCCAGCTGTCCATGGAAAGTTTAGGGGGCCTTGATTCCAAGACCAGCCGGGGGTCCATGGCCCCAGTAGATTCTGGGGTGTTTCGGGTTCCTTTGCCAGCAGTATTGAGGAGAGCTTGGTGGCTATCAAAACAGCTTCAGGAGATGCTCAGCTCTCTTCTGGAGTGCTGACCTATGCCCTGCTTCTTAGGTCCTAACTACCTTCTGTCCCGCTCTCTGCCTAAAGTCATTGCCCCCAACTTCAGGGCTCTGAAAATGCTGCATGTCACACAAAGTTTCTTTAAAGGAAAGGGAATCTGACGCCCCCCCCCACCCCGCCCCGCAAAGCAGGAATACCTCCACTAGTTTACCCCGAGCCAGCAGACTTGTTTAAATGGTGCTTATTTGGCCTGCATTCCTGCTGAGACCCTGTGGTTAGGATGGAACCTGCCTCTTCTTAGGCCTGGAGGAACCACGTCCTGGCCGAGGAGTGTGCCCAACCCAGTGGGGCCCTGCCAGGGGTTATTGTTAGATGCTCTAGCAGTGCCAGACTCAGAGGTGTCTGCCCTGGGACCCCTCCTCCAGGAGGGAGGGCGCTCCGGCGGTTGCTGACCAGAGGGCTGCTGGGTGAGTGAGGAGTCAGCGGGCAGGAGACCCACAGAGGCTCGCCACAGCGGGGACACCAGAATCGGGTGGCTACAAGAGAAGGGACTGAGCGGGGTCGCCATGGGGAGCCTTGGTAAAGATGAAGGGCTGAACTTTATTGGCTGACCCCTCTGGGCTTCCGTCATTGCAGCCAACCCGCCAAAACAATTGGAACATGCCCCATAATCTGGGATGTTGGGATGGGGATGCCACCGCTGGTAGGGGAAGTCTCTGCTCTCAGTTACCCCTTCTCCTGGAGATTTCCCAAGAAGGGAGCTGGTGAGACCTGGCATTGATGGCACTGCCCCTCCTGAACCCCCGGGAGACGGGGCCGGCAGCTCTGCATCTGCTGAGGAGGCTGCAGGACCAGGTTCTACTGCTCCGGGGCTGGCAATGAGGCCAGGAGGTGGAGCCGGGGTCTGTGTCATTTGCTTGGGGTTCTCCCTCCTGCTCCTACCTTCCTTCCCACCAGGGCCTTGACTGCCGTTCGGCACCAGGGGCGATGCATTATGTCTGGTGCTGCTCTCAGCCGCCGGCTCCGAGCTGCACCAGCTTCAGCCTTCCCCCCAGGGTGCAGGTGCCAGCAGAAATGGATCTGTAGCTGTTTGGGCCTTCCTGCCCGCTCCATGACACCAGCAGCTCTGGGGGTCCCCTGGGGAATGTGGGAGCCGGGGCTCCCCACGGGGCAGCTCAGCCTCACAGAGGCACTAGGGGGGCAGAGGGCAGCTCCCTCCATCTAGGCGCCTGCACCCTTCTTGGGCCGCGCATGCACAGTAGTTCCACGAGAAGAGAAAGATCTGAGACTGGGATGGGTGGTGGTTTCCAGCTTTCCTCTTCCAGGGAAGAGACCCTGTCGCCTGGTCCTTTAAGGAAAGGAGGTAAGGTGGCCAAGTGGAAGGACCTCGTCTTGGGAGCCATGGCCACTTACCAGCTACATGAGCTGATCCAGAGACCTCCCCTGAAAGGTCTTTCACATTCACTGAGATGTTTCTGTGACGTCCTCGTATACAGCTCGCCCCAAAGAAGTGAAGCCTCCTTTCTCTCCTCCTCCTAGATATTTCTTTGACAAAAGCAGCTGTTAGAGTGCTCCCCCTATATCTCAGGGAGGGGGCAGAAGTATGCAGTCACCTCCCACCCCTGCCCCACCCCCGCTCCACCCCAGCATCACCCCTCCCGCTGTGGCGCCAGAGAGTTTTGCCTCTGGTTTGGCTCCCTGGTCTAGTTGGAGGGATAGGCATTGGCATCATTTAGCACCACCCCCAGCCAGACCAAACACTTCTGAACTCCCCCTTGGGCAGTGACCTTGGCTTTGCACAGGGCATCAGGAAGCTTGGGCGGGGCCGGGCTGGGTGGTGGTGGTTAGGAGCCAGTAAGAAAAAGGCAGAAAGCACAGCTTCGTTTGTGTGTTCTCCTCAACTGGCATCTGTTAAGGCCCCCTCCCATGGGTACCTGGGGATACCAAGGGACATTTGTGTCCGTCTACGAGGTGGCCTCAATTTGTGTGCCAGGCCCAGGGTCGCCGACAGCGGGCAGCAGCAGCCTCCTGCAGGACGAGTATGGAAATCCCATGGAAATCCCACAGGAACCTGTTGATAGCTGGGCATCAATTTCAGCCATTTCCACCCGCCTGCTGAGCTCCCAGGGACGTCTGGGGGCTGCTGATTGCAGAGCTCCAGGGATTGGGACAGGAAGTTTTACTCAGCCCACTCAGGCCTGGGGCCGGATCTGTGTAGCTCCCGCTTTCCGCTCTGGGAAGAATGCCGCTCCCTGGGCACCGCGCTGGGTGTGGACACCGCTGGCCTCCCCACACTGTCAGCTTCCCAGCCCCTCACTCTTCCCTATCCTCGCCATTCCAGGCCCCAGGGAAGTGTGCTCTCCAGCCAGGTGGGGCAGCCCACAGTTTCTTGCAGCCCAGGCTGCAGCCCCAGGCTGGCTGGTGAGGCACATGCTTCGCAAAGTGTTGTGTGCTGGTAATTGATTGTTCAGAAGAAAATGCATCTGACCTTCTTGTGCTCAAGCCTGAGTCCTTGGTTAGAAAAAGGAACAAGAAGCTGTTTGGGACCCAGAGAATTCTAACCTGCCCCTCGGCCTCACTGCTGGGGTGCCAGTCAGTGGCGGTGGGGGGTGGGGAATGCAGGGGACATTGACTTGGATCTGTAACCTTACTGCACCGCAAGGATAGGACCTCATCCAAAGGTGTGGGGAGGGGTACATGAACAGGAGCCAGGGCCCAAACTCACTTTACCAATGAGACGCCTGAGCGTCTACAGGACATCCGGTCTGCCTTCTCAAAGCCAGACCGGATTTCTACTCCCATCTTTATTGGGGATTTTTCCTCCAATGTTTTATTATAAAAGTGTCAGACATACAGCAAAGTTTGAGGGTTTTACCGTGAGCACCCAAATCCCCACCATCCAGAGTCTACGTTTTCCTGCACTTGCTCAGTCACATAGCTCTGTCCACCAAATCCACCTGTCGATGCATTTCAGAGCCACATGAAAACACCAGTACACTTCCTTCTTGGGGTTTTTAATTCTAAAGGTAATGCGCAGGCAAATAAATTTAAAAATACATAAAAACATTTTGCTTCTAGTCCTCCTTTCCTCCACCATTGAAGTGTAGATCCTCCCAGATGTTTTCTGTGCTTACACGAACATACAGATGCACACATGTATTTCAGTACGGAGGGCATCCGGTGCTTTAGGAAATGGGATCGCACCCTTTTACTGATCCACCACATGCCACATTTGGAGTCTGAGGTGACATTTCAATGGCAGACTGATGGTGTGCCATCTGCTTTTTCTGTTCTTGTCACCCTTTCGGTGGGCCTGTGGGTTAGCCTGATGTTGGCAGGAAATGACCCCAGGTGGTTGTGGTCAGGCAGCTGAGAGTGACTTCTGTGCACAGGGACGTCAGGCCTGAACTGGTCCTGTCTTAGGCTTTTTCCTCAGGGTTCCTGGTGGGGAGCTTTGAGGCACTTTAGCCCTCTAGGCCATGAAGAATCCTCATTTTCTGGGCCTCAGATGTTTCCCTTCCCACCAGAGTTATCAGAGAGCACCCAGAAACAGCAAGGGAGGGGGCACCATGTGAAGGGTTCCAGGCCCTGCACTACCACTCGCAAACCCCCAACTTAGGCAAGATGCTTGACTTCTCTGGCCTCAGTATCCCCGGCAAAATGGAACTAGCACATATGCCCTGTTGCTCATGAAATTGTGAGGCTCAGTTGAACACACACACACACAATCACACACAATCTCAGTGTATATCACTGGCAGTTCTCGAGGACAAGTGAAATCTATCAGTAGTGAGGAACTGATCCTGCTTCCAGCTCGCCTTTCTTCACATCCATAACGCCACTCTCTTGGTATTTCTCCTGTGGTTTTGGGAACTTCTGAGTAACCTTGGCTTCCCTCACCCCTTGCACTTGCCTTTCAGATGTTAGAGTTAACCTTGCGTTCTGTCTTCTGCCTTCTTGGATTTCAGTGAATCTCTATCCCACATCTACACCCATCACCCACATCTCTCTTCTAAACCCCAGATCCAGACTCCAGTGGACTCCTGGAGGTTTCCATTAGCATGTCCCCATGGAGACGCCTGGTCAGCACCTCCCACCCAACTCTGAACTCACTTCTGCCTGTCCTTTTCCCGGGTCCCCTCTCCTAGTGACGAGCACCTGCCACTCGCCCAGCTGCCCTGGTCAGCGCATGCCCTCCCTCCCTCCTTGCCCTCATGGCTAGTGCAGGCCCTGAGTCCTTCCCTCCAGTGCTGCTGCATCCTCCTCCAGAGCGGGCTTCCCGTCTCTGAGCTTTGTCAGCCCATTCTCCGGTACTCAGCAGGGACCAGCTGCAATCGGGATGCACTTCCAGAGCCTCGAAGTGAACCAGATGAAGCCCGGGCACCACAGCAGAACAGGAGTTCATCCTGGGGGCGTCAGTCTTACCCCCCTGCCCCACTGTGGCCCCACGGCTCTCTGCACACGCCATAGCAAACTTCTGCTGTTCCCAGTGCACAGATACTCTTCCCTTTGCCTGGAGTCCTTCCCTGAACAGTCCCCACCCTGACAGGGCATCAGCCATACCCTCATACCTGGACTTGTATGCATCATAAGGCTTCCTAGAAATTGGTGTGCTGTTCATTTCCGTTTTCTTGTCCGCCTCCCCTGTGAGACTATGACTTCAGTCCCGAGATTGTGGCTTCTTTACGGAGTTGCCAGCACCAGAATGTCATAGAAATTTAATAAGGGGCTGCTTCCCCAGCCACGGTGCTCCCCCTATTTTTCTCAGGCTTTTCCAGCTATGGCTGTGCAAGGGGCCTGTGGTGTGCAGTAGCTTCCTTCCATTCTTTTTTTTTGTGAGGGACCTTTTTTTAGGACCTTCCCAATGCTGTGCTACCACCATCTCCATCTAGTTGCTAATTTTCAAAAGAAAACCCCCCATGATTGTACTTTTATCTAAAATAGAGTCCATCTCAAAGAGCCAGAGGGTAGAATGGTATGCACCAGGGGCCAAGGGGACGGGGAAATGGGGAGTTGCTATTCGAGGGGCATAGAGTTTCAGTCATGCCAGAAGAGTAAGTTCTGGAGACCTGGCGCCCAGCTTTGTGCCTGCAGTTGGCAATACTGTCCTGCACACTTAAAAATCTGTCAAGAGGGTAGATCTCCTCTTAAGTGTTCTTACCACCAGAAAAGGGGAAGAAGAAAACCCCTTACCCATAAAACAGTCCCCCCGCCCCCAATCCCTCCTGCCCCCAAGCCCCGGGCCTACTTCTTGTCCGGATTGGCCTATGCTGCACATTTCAAAGAAAGGAGTTATTGGATAGATGACTTTTTGCATCTGCTTCCTTCACTTCGCCTGATGTTCTCCAGGCGCCTCCACACTGCAGCCCCGAATCGGCGCTCTGCCCCTTTCCCATGGCTGAGTGACACTCCGTTGTAGGGAGAGATCCCGCTTGTTAATCCGGTTCTCGGCTGGGGGCACTGGGGTCGTTCCCACCTGTCGGCTGTTGCGCACATGCTCGGCCGAGCAGCCGCTGCAGTTCCGGCCTCGCGCCCCGTCACCGTGCTTTGCCAAACCAGAACTCCGTGCACCTGGGCCGCATGTATGTTTTGGGGGCGGTCTGTTCAGGGAGGCAGCTGGCCTCTGCTACAGGCCTCTCCCCTCCTGAGCCCATTTTGCCCTCCATCCCCTGGCCGCTTCTTTGGTGATTCATCCCACTCTGTCTTCAGATAATTGATGTGCGGTGTGCATGTCTTGTCTTAGGTCAAGGTACCCCTTGGTCTCCTGTGTCGCCTACACAGCCTTGCCCACTTCAGGTGACCCAAGCAGTCCCAACCAAGTTCCTAGACCTGTGCCTGCTTTGTGCCACCTGTCTGCTGGTGACTGACCCTCTCCCGCTCTCCTCCGTGCCCCCTTTGCAGATGACGTGCTGACGAAAGACGCGGGTGAGTGTGTGATCTGCCTGGAGGAGTTGCTTCAGGGGGACACGATAGCCAGGCTGCCCTGCCTGTGCATCTATCACAAAAGGTATGGAAGGGCCACTAGGGCCAGCGCAGCCCCATCTGAGATCCCAGAGGGTTCCTTCCCTGCAGCTGGGGGACAGAAGGGGGGACCCTCATCACTAGGCGTTCGGTCGCCACTGGTTATGGGATGACCTGTCCTCCCGCGAGGGCTCTAAGTGGGGTGGAGGCACAGCAGGTCTCTGGTTTGGCAGCCTGGATGGCGAGGGCTGACAGGGAGACCTGTGGAGCCCCACAGGTTGGAGGCACTTAGGATCGCACCTGGAAGGTCGGTTCTGCATCCATCTCCCTGAGCCTTTTCTTTCTCCATGGGCCCCTCTGTGCGGCCGCGGCGCTAAAAGCTGCCAGAATTAGCAGGGCTGAGAATCGTCCTCAGGTTCCAGTACGAGCCTCGCTCTTGTTTCCAGCTAGAAAGAAGACACCTCCTTACCCAAGTTGGGAGGACACTCTGTGCCATCTGCTCTTGGCCCCTTGGGTCCCAGAGCTGCTTCTGACACACAGGCTTTTTCACAGCCCGCCACACGTGGCTACTGGCCACGAGGTGGTTATGGTGCCTGGCACACAGATGTGGCTGGTGCCTGAGAGGCTTGAGGTCGGCCCCAAGGGAGGGGCCTTGGCCTGGGCCCGGGACACAGTCCTCCAGTGTCCCAGGGAGGCACCACTCAGAACCAGAAGATGAAAATGTTTGGCTCTGGGGGGGAATTATGCAAATTATCTACCTGGTTTCTGTGTTTGAAAATACCCAGATGTTGGCTTCCAAATCAGAAAGCTGTCTTGGGGCAATCTCTATTCCCTGTCTGGTTCAGGTGGTCCTTTCTACAAACACTGGAGACTGGGGTTTGACTGTCAGCCTCCTGTCTGGCCCTCCCCAGCAACGTCGCTAAGCCAGAGGGCTGGCCCTCCCCTTCTACCTTCTCCAGGAAAGGCTCCACGCCGACCACAACCCACCAAGCCACATAGAGGGCCATACTCCCCACTTCCTGCAGCGCCCAGATCCACCCAATGCTATACCCACCATGCTGGGCTGATGCCTCAGGCTGAGCAGAGATCAGTCTTGGTGTTCTCCCTTCTTCCTGCTTCAAAAAGTGGGTGTCTGGTGTTTTCCCCTGAGGTCCTCATGAGCGAGATTTAGCAAACCTCTGCTCAGAAGCCTGACCCTTGGAGAATGCCCCCTAAGGAACGGCCTGGTCAGTGGTAACCTGTCTCCCCTTGCCACCTCCCTGCCTCAGTTGCATAGATTCGTGGTTTGAAGTGAACAGATCTTGTCCAGAACATCCCGCGGACTGACCCTGCTGGGCTCGCTTGCTGACTCCTCTCAAAGGTGAGCCCGTGGTTGGGGATGCTCCGGGCTCAAGGCACTGGGGCCAAGTCACTCTGGGGCCTGGAGGGTAGGGAGCTCAGTTGCCCTTGCACACCCCACCAAGAGGGGAGCATCTTATTAGTTAGTGATTCTATGGGGGGCAGGGGGGCGGGGGCTGGTATGATTCTCCGGAAAGGATAGGAAATACGAACTCACAAGGTAATGAAGGAGAACCTGCTCAGTAGAATTAGATTCGTTGGGAAAAAGACCAGTGTATTCCAGACATCTAAAGTGAGTCTCCCTGACGAAGGTTCAGAAAGATCCCATGGAATGTGCCGGCTGGGAGAAGCAGCAGCGTGAGCTCTAGGACCAGACCCTGGGTTTGCGCCCTGCTCCGCCTCGTGCTGGAGGGGTGGCAAGGGCGAGTCCTGTCTCTCAGGGTCTCTGCTTCTTTGGGGCCAGGGGGATAACCTCACTCCCTGTCCGCATACGGACATCCCCCTTACTAAACAAGAGATCCTGGGGGACGGTGCGCCGTCCTCTGCGGTGCTCACCTGTGATCATGTCACGGCTGGTTCTTCCCACCTGCAGGCCACTTGCCTCTCACATGCTCACACACACACACACATACACACTCACACTCACACTCACACAGCCCGCCTCCGGATGACTCTCTGCAGCAGGCCGGCGCAGCCTTCCCTACCAGATGTGCACACGAGGTCCGTCTCTGACCGTGCAGCCCGACTCCCCGTGTCCCCCCCGGGGCACCTCGCCCCTCTGCTGACCACCCTGTCCTGTCCCCCGTCCTACCTGTCCCTGCGAGTTCTGGGCCGGCACTTCCTTTGTCCTGGCAAACGAACGAAACCCGCCAGAGAAACCAAAGCCCTGACTCCACCTCATCTCGCATCCAAAGGTTTTGGGGCCTCTTTTCTTTTCTCTCTCTCGCTCTCTCTCTCTTGTTTTTGTTTGTTTTGTTTTCCTTTGTTCTTCATTAGGTTTATTTTATTTATCCCAAGTAAACTCCCAGAACAGCTGCTGATGTCAGACAAATCAGGGACATTTGCTCTTTTTACCTTCCCCTCAAAAACTGAGGACACGGGGAGAAGAAAAAGCAAGGGTAAGAGTGAGGCAGAGGGACTGGGCCGGCGCCGGAGCGGGAGCCCCGGCCCCCGCGGGACGTTCGGCTTCGGGCCGCAGAGCGGAACCACGCCGCCCGGCCGCCAGAGCGCGACTTACGTGTTCCGGTCCACACAGGGACAGCCAGCCCCCGCTCCGGGGAGGAGGCATCGGACCCGGGCAGAGCTGAGCTGGGGACACCGGTGGGAACAGGGCACCCCTTCTGCACTGACTTCCAGAGAATGGTTCTCCCTTTCTCCCTGAGGACACCAAATTGGACGAGAGCGAGTTTGAGAGAAGAATCAACTGCTATCCTTCCCCTCACCCCTCATCCCAGGAGGGAAAGGGCATTTTCTTTGACACCTTCGAAAGGCGTTGTGGGTCTGTCTAAAGTGTTTACAAAAAAAAAAAAAAAAAAAAATTATAAAAAAAAAAGTCTAGTGTCGACTGGTGTTTTCCCTCGTGATGTTTACAGATTGCCGTCTGCCGCCCAGCCAGAACCCACTCCGTGACCGAGACGAACGGGGCTGCGCGCACGCTCTCCTCCTGTGCTCAGCGCCCCCCTGTCGGCCCTCTCCATCACCCACCACTCTGCCTGGGGTGGTTTTTTGTGTTTTGTTTTGTTTTGTTTTTGGGTTGTGGTTGTTTGTTTCCTCCATCTTTCTGGCTTGGTTTTGCACTTTTCTCCCCTTGGGACCCTGATGTGTAACTTCATTGCCAAAAAAAAACAACCCATCAAGGATCTTCTCCTCTCCATTCCCTTTTCCTCTCCCTCCTTCGCTCCTGGTTCTGGTCAGTTCAGAGGATTTAACAATCACAAGTGTCCTGCAAAAATGCCTGAACATTTTTCTTAGACCCTTGTGGATTTTTTTTTTCCCAGAAAACGTAAACAGACAAAAGACTTATTAAAGGAATATGTACAATTATCCCTGTTTTCAGGCACTCTGTTTGAGAACATTTTAGCCATTGATGTTCACACGTGGCATCAGCCCATGCAAGATAGGTTTCTGTATTTATATATTAAAATACAAAAAAAAAAAAACCTTATAAAATGTTTAAAAAAATGTTCAAAGCTTGGGGGAAAAGCTTTCTTCATTAGTCAAGGTGTTTTGATATGGTATTAAAATGTCTAATAAAAGATGCACTGTGTGGCTTTATTTTAATGAGGTATTGTTAAACAATCAAGAAATGGGGGTTGAAGGCCTATCCCCCACGCCCTCACCTACCTCCTTAGCCTTCCTCCAGGCTGCTACTTGGCACTACAGGAGTGTGAAGTGGTCTTCAGAGCAGTCATGCCTGGGCAGAGGGAACCTGGCAGGTCAGACCCGAGTCCTTCAGGGTTACTGGCCCTCCCAAGCATCATGGAGTCCATCTGCCATCACCTGTGGAGTGGTTGTGACAGAACTCTTCAGGAAAGATCTGCGGGGGCAAAAGATCTTGCGGCCAGTGGAGGCTGCAAGGATGCGGATTCTTCCAGGTATCGGCCCAGTCCCTGCCTTCATCCTCAGCTCCCCATCCCACGTCCCGTCCTGCCCTGCCTGTTGCTCAGTCTGCATCTCGGTGCTGACTCATGGGCATGCTTCATTGAGGCCCAGAAAGAGGCCCTGATTTGGGGCTGAGCCAGCTCAGAGCCCTTGAACTAGAAGCAGCCACTCCGGGCTCACAAGAGTTGGCACACCTCAAGCTGGGCGGGAAGCTCAGAGCAGGGGGTAGGGACGCAAGCCCGGCCTCTGTCACCGTGCCAGAGGGGCTCCTGGAATGGCATTCCAGAGCCTCCTGCAGAACCTGCGGAGGAAGGCTCTGGAGGGAGATGCCTCCAAGCTTTTGTGCCCACACCCCTCCCCGGGCCTTTTGAGTGCCCTTGCCTCTGTGGGCTCTGCCTCCCCAGGCCCTGTCTCTGCAGTGCTCTAATGTCACGCGCCTCCCGAAGCACCTACTCTGTGCAAGGGCACTGCAAGCCAGTGGGCAAGTGTGAGCCAAGGCACAGGCATGCTCGGCATGTTCAGAGAAATGCTAAAGAATTTGTGGGTCTGAGCGTCAGAAACCGCCCCCCCCCCCCCGGGGACCAATCATCCCCAGGGTGGCAAGAGCATGAGCTCTAAACTGTCTGCATGTGAGTTCCTCTGTCGGGCAGAATGATCCTGGGGAGACGACTTTGCTCTTCTGAACTTCAGATTCGATCGCATGTGATCACAATGTTGCACAGCTCAGAGGTCACCGTGAGGGTCAGAGAATCTGCCCGGAAGCCTCTGCCACATGCATAGCAGGCTCCCTGGTAGTTCTGTCACTGCAAAGAGCACTGTTCTATTCACAGCACCTCCTGCTTCTGCCTGGCAACTGTGTCTCCCTGTTCTAAATTTAATTCCTCTAGCAAAGCTGGCCCTGGAGATCTCCTTGCCTGACCCCTGGGCCTGCAGGCGAAGGCTTCTGTGACCACCTTGGTGGCTTAGGCCCTGTGGCCTTGGCAGCACCCTGGGTGAGCCAAGTGGTCATGACCCAGTGGGGCAGGCTGGAGCCCACGCCGGGGGCTATTCCAGGCTCCTGGGGCTGGTCCCTGCCCCCACCCCCAGCGACTTGCACTCCCACCCAGCGCACGGCAGCCCTCTGCTGGCTGTGGTGTTCTCCGATGCCACCCCGGTTGCCGCCAGCTCCTCTGGCGGGGGTGGAACGGGCTGGTGCAGGCTTCCCGGGTGGGACTGGTCTGTCATTCATGCTCCATCCAGGCAGCTCTCCCAAGCTCTATCTTTCCGGGAGGGGAGGGAACCGGCAGGAACTGCGAGGGGGCTTCTGCCGCCTCCCTCCGCTAAGGGCCCAGCACACTTTGCAGGGCTCCCTGGGCAGAAGCACCTCACTAAGACCGTTCATCTAGCAGCCATTTAACAGTGTTGAGGTTTTTAGAAGGTCCTTATGCTTAGGAGATAGATGCTGAATTCTGTAGGTAAATGGTGTCAAGAAATGTGTAACTCAATTCCAGATGGTTCCCCAGAAAGTACACACACAAAGCAAATAAGGCAAAAATAGTCACTTGAGTCTTCAGGGGCTGGTATTTCAGTGAACAGTGTGCTTGTTCTTTCAGCTCATCAAAGAAGAGCCGTCCCCAGTAAGGAGAGAAACCTCCATTGCAGACTTCTCCCCTGGGCTCAGGGGCGAGGCAGTCGGGTGGAGGTGGGGGGTGCGGCCAGGGAGCTGGATGTCCAGACACGCTCGGCTGACGCTTAGATTGTTCGTGGAGCAGGGTCGCTTGGGGAGAGCCGGTGAGGCCTGCCCCCACACCACCCCCTTGGCCCAGCGACTGCTCGTGGCTCCGGGCTAGAAATGTCACAGAGGAGCAAACTGGGCTCAGTCCAGCGTTAAGAATGGCTTCCAAGAACCAAGTTGGGCTGAGGAGTCCCAGAAGGGCAGCCTCTGCCCAGGGCCTGGACAGCTGATGGGGAGAGGCGGGGAGGGGTCCAAGGGGTGGAGGCAGGGAAGGAGCTCAACGGTGGCTTGTGGGGGTAAGGGGAGATGGGAGGGTACCAGCCTCCCTGCTTTGCTCACTCAGCACTTTTGCTCAGGGGCCAAGGGAGATGGGCCTGCAGGATGGGCTCCTGGGGCAGACTTTAGAGACTGGCTTCCAGGACACCAAGCCTCCCCTACCCCAACCTCGGGGAAGTAGGGAGGGGGACCCAGGGCAGGGAGCTGTAGGCCCTGGACAGAGGTGAGTCCTGGGTGCCGCTGCCCAGCGCGGATGCTCTGGTGTTGGGCGCCCTCTCGTGGGCTTGGGAACAACTGACAAGTTCACGGACCAAGCGGTCTGGCCAGGGATCCTAAGGTCCGGGGAAGGCCCAGGGGAGGGCAGATCCTGACCTGGAAGGGAAAAGCTAGTAATCTGATACATCACAGCATGGAGCGGTATCATACAAGGAGAAAAATTTCACTTCCATTTCCACTGATTGGCAACGGCCACTTGGAGAACATGTTCAGAATGTTCTTAGGCCCAGTCCAGGCTCAGGTGGGTGGCCTGTCGTGAGGGATGTCGGCCACGGGCCATGATGTCATCCTCAGGCACTGGTCTTCTCACCGGCAGCAGACGGGTCAGGGACCTGGGTCCCTGGAAGCGACTTTCAGCAGCCTGAGCACCATCCCCTCCCAGGCTGCAGTAAGTCAGAGGACAGGCGGGGACGACGGACGACGGACAAGAACAAAGGTCAGAGAACCTGAAGGAGGGGGTAGGGAGGGCAGGCACAGGCACTGTCTGCTCATGTCCAGACTGCTGCAAATGGGGTTCTGGTTTATTTCAGGGGTCCGAGGACACCTACACCAGGAAAGCATGTTCCTGTCACCAGGCAGGCGGAGTAGGGCTAAGAGAGCTCAGTCCCTGAGGCCTTGCCCCTGGCCCCCGGCAGCGGGGAGGCTCTGACCAAGGGGAAGACAGGCAAGGACCCCTGCAGGTCTGGGCCAAGACAGAACTGTTCTGTGACAAGAAGGAAGGTTCCAGAGCAGGAGGTTCCACTGTCTGGGGGCTGGTGGGCCAAAGGCTTGGAGCCCCTCACAGCACCTTGCCTGGGTTCATGAGGCCTCGGGGATCCAGCGTGGCCTTCAGCTGCCGCATGGTCTCTATGCCCACGGCGCCCACCTCCTCCTGTAGCAGCTGCCGCTTGCCCAGCCCAATACCGTGTTCCCCAGTACATGTCCCGTGGAGTGCCAGTGCCCGCCTGGGAGGCAGTGAGGAGATCCTCAGCAGGGTGCTCCTCCGCCCCACCCTGCCAGCCAAGGGTTCTGCTCTTACCTGCCCAGATGTTCTCCAAAGGCCTTGACCCTACGCAACTCCTCGGCATCCTCTGGGTCCACCAGCAGGATGCAGTGGAAATTGCCGTCGCCCACGTGTCCAACAATGGTTCCTGGGGGCCCAGAGGACAGAGCTGCTGCCCCAGCCCAGCCCAGCCCAGCCCCCTTCCCTCCCGCATGGCGCTCCAGCAGTGGGCATGCGGACCTGTGAGTCCCGAGGCCTTCAGGTCCTCCTTGGTCTGCACCAGGATCTCCGGCAGCCGGGAGATGGGCACACACACATCAGTGGAATAGCCCTAGGTGAGGGCAGGTTTGTGAGGTTCTCCCCCCCTCACCCCCTGCCGGCCTGGACGTAAGAGGTCCTTGTGGTCAAGGTTAAGAGCAGGCCTCACCCACAAAAACTAGCTGCTTTTCTCTAGGCCTGTTTCCCCTGGACAACTGGACAAATGGCCAGAGTGAGTGCCCTGCCCTGCCCGCGGAGGCTTCCCCAGCTCTCACCTTGCTCCCCGCCCCGCTCTGTGCGGGGCCCCAAGCAGCCCACGAGGCCGAGGCTTCGCACGTGCTGCCTGGAGCCCAGTGTCCCCTTCCTGTTGGCTGACCCCTTCTGCTTCATCATCTCTCTCCAGCCAGCCTCACAAACCCTAAGAGCACCTGTGCTGTCCCTGTGCCCAGGCGGGGGCTCCCTCCTGAGAGTTTGGCAGACAACTACTTTCCCCACTAGACAGTATCTGAGAAACAGCCGGGTAGGGGCAATGCTGCCCACGGTGGGCCTCAGCCTACTGCTCGGGACAACAGGGTGGCGGGCTGGGGGTGCCGCCACCACCCCAGCCCAACTCACCTTGCAGCCCGGCCGCAGGGCCAGAGCAGCGTACCAGGCGTTGTGCCGCGCCGCCCAGAGCCGGCTGCGCTCCTCGGCCTCCTTGGCCCAGAAGAAGTGGGAGGCTCCGTTGTGCTGGCTGATCTCCTCTGCAAGGGGGGGGG